CCCCAAAACCCCAAAACCCCAAAACCCCAAAACCCCTTTGAAAATTTTAGTTATTGAATTATTTTAATGATGGACAACGAATTTTTCTTGCAGAGTAGAGATGATAAATATGGGCTGAATAAGGAGCTGAAGAGACGAACTCAGCAGTTTTGGACACGGAATGACTTTATTGAGGATGTAAGATGACTTTTGGGGGGTTAATGTGTAGAGAAATGTGCAATCTTCGTTTGGGCATGGGAGTCTTGGGGGATTGAAGGATAAAAGTCAGATTAAAGAATTGGCCCAGAAGCACCGACTTGGGCTCTTCTCCTCTTTATCTAGAAAGGGGAGTACTGCTCTTAATGTGCAGAAAAATATCATTGAGAGAGATTTATATCGAAATTCTGTTAGGTCAAGAATGCTTCAAGGCAACTCTAGAAGGATAAAATCTTTAACAAAGTTGCAGAAATAAAGAAATCATTGAAACTGATGAAATCAGGTATGGCACTAACCCTATCTCTCCTAATTCTACACATGAGCTTCTCACTTAGAAGATTCTCTGCTAAATTATTGCCATTAGAATATTTAAATTTTCCAAATTTTCCATGTAACATATTCTTCAGAGTTTTCTCACCCATTCTAAATTTCAAATAAGACGCCATTTAAGAAGATGAGGGATTCAATGGAGAAGAAATCTAGAGTAAGTAATCTGATGCAAAATTATAGCAATTGAACTCAAAGGTGGAAAATTCAAAGAAATTTAAAGAGCCACTCAAGCTAAAACTAAAACCGATGAAATGTAAGCAATGGTTTGATGATAATAGTTAATTTTAAGAATGGGTCCAAACACAAAGGCTCACCTTCCTGAAGCAAGGAGAGTAGATCTTTTAAGAAAAACAAGGTATCCTCTTAGGCTCATAGTTTAGAAGTTTTTCAGCCCTGAACCAAAGTCTGAAAAGACAACCTTCTTCCTATCACTTAAAACTCCCCTAGTCCAGTAAGGATTTTTCCTAATTTCAGGAGCAAGAAGAATTTGAAGAAGAGAAAACTAAGTCCGATCAAGACTGTCCAGAAGGCAGATGGGAAGAAATTATTAACATGAGAAATGAGGCTCGACGAGTTCAAAGCATCTAGAATAACCTCTAAAAGTCCTAGTGTTGCTAATTTAATAACTACAAGCCCCTTTACAAAAAGTTTAAATGCGAAAGCTTTGAGGAGGAAGAGCTCGAGCAAATATTATCCTCCCTCCAGCATCCTCGAAAGTACTATTTTTTGCTAAATCTTTAGAGTCTCCAACAAATTTAGGAACTCTGAATTACTTTAATGAGGAAATTGAGGAGGCAATCTCCACTGAAGGACTTGATTCAGAAGATAGTCAGCAGCCTTTCTTTACAAAATATGACACTCTGATCAACAAATTTGATGAAGATTCCAGAACTATAATATCTAAAAGAGTCAAGGATAGAGAAATTAGGTTCAGTAATCTTTCTCTTGGAGATGACTTCACTTGAACTTTAGCTGATCAACTCAAAAAGGATCACAACATTCTTAAAATCTTGATAAATAACAATAGGCTAACTAGTAGAGGAGCTATGGCGATCATGAATAAGATATCGTATTCGACAAATTATCTCAATTTTTCGGGAAATCCTGGAATAAAAGTTGACTCTTATAAGTTCCTATCAAAGCATGTCTTACAAGACTACAGAAAATAAGATAGTGCATCTTGATTTAGAAGGAAATAACATGGGGGATCATGCAGTCGAAATTGTTTGTAGTGCTCTATCGATAGACTCATATATCAAGTATCTTAACCTTAGTAAGAACAATATTACTGACAGAGGAGCAGTAGCTCTTGGAGACTTGATTTACAACAACTGCTCCATTACTGCTTTATTCATCAGCTGGAATGAATTCAGAGGTGAAGGAGCAAAATATATCGCAGAGGGACTACAGGAAAATACTCATATCAAAGTATTGGATATGAGCTTTAACTCAATTGGATCAAAGCATTTCCAGAAATATAACTGTATCAAAGATTTTGCTAAAGCCTTTAAGGTCAACACAGCTCTTGTTCATATTGATCTTTCTTATTTAGGATTAATTAAAGAGGACCTCGAGAGACTAAATCTCGGATTAAAATGCAACCACACTATTCTTGGAATCCATATTACTGGAAACGAGGGAGGAGTAGACTCATTAGGATATCTTTGAACAAATGTAGATCCTCCTAGTTCTTCTCAACTAATATCTACCATTAGCCCGATTCTTAAGGCTGGGAAAGTTGATGCAAAGGATCTTGACCTTCAAAGTTGAACCAATTGTTGGATCTGAGAAGGATGGAGTCCTATTACATTTAGATTCGTGCATGAAAAGTCAAGTTATTCCCATCTCAAAATTAAAGAAAAATCAACAGTTCTCCTCCACCTCAGTGTGGATAACTTTGAGCCTGACATAATGTACCCAGACAAGAATAACCCAGGAGAGTATTACAAAATTCGAATGGTACCTGCTTTGAACATGTATTTCTACTTCAGTGTGAATGAGCTTCCCCAAATACGGACAGATATGGAAAGCATAGCCTCGGATATACAAAAAGTTCCCACACTAAAAGAAATTGAAAAGAGAAATGCCACAATGCCTTGGAAAATCAACACCATGTTATGTGGACCTCAGAACCAAATAGTGATAGATTATGATCTACTTGAGAGCCTCAATTGCCTTCCTCGCCCTAAGAAATTTAAAGCCAAGAAGAAGAGAAAGCCCAAAATTAAACCACAGTTCGAGATTTCAAAATCTATATTCAAAAAGTACCAAAATGAAGGCCCAAAATTAATGGAAAGATGATTTGAATTCGACTGGAAATGCTCTAAAATCGAAAAGGTCATCAAGAGTGAAGACCAGAGAGAGCCCATTAAATAAATACCTTAAAGAGAACTACAGACTCATCCGTGAAGCATATAAATACTTCGCAGGGATCTCTCCCTGTGGGATAGTTCCTGGAATTGGACAAAATGCATTCAATGAGATTGTGAATGCTACGCATATCTGAAATAATAAGAGACTCAAGCTTGCTGATATAGATTTTGAGTTCATTGTTACCAAAGCTGGTAACAAGAAGGCACTTAACCCGGAAAGGTGGCTGATAAGGTACCAATTCATGGAAATCTTTGTAAGATTAGCCTTACATATGTATTACAAGCCTAAGATAGAGAAGACCCACTCAGAATCTGTTATAAAGTTTATGGACCAACATATAATGCCCTTCTTTACCAAATTTGACTGTCAAAAATGGAGAGTAGAGCATCTTTGGAACACAGAATGAGAAGAGGTCCTAGCAAAATAATGCTGGGATTCTTCAAAGAGTTTACAACAGATATTCAGGAATGTACACTCTCCCTGGGAGAGTAAAATTCATGTGCATCGATGAATTCATCACACTTATTAATGATTCTGAAGTTCTTACGAACGAAGTTTCTGTTGGAAATGCTGAACTTGGAGCCCAATTTAACCTTTCTATGAGCACCCAGATAGATGAAGTTGAGAAAGATCGTCACTGACAGATGATGTTCTTCGAGTTTATGGAAGCTGTTGCCAGAGTTGCTTACAAAATCACAAATTTCCCTAAAGTTGATAAGAATATTCTCTTTAAAACAGAAGAAATTAAAGAAGATTCTACTATGTTAATGCGTAACAGAGGAAGTTCAGTGGATACTTCTGATTCAGAGTTTAGTAACAAAGACTCTGAAGTAAAAGAAGAGGATCCAATTGACAAGTACTACTACTCTCCTGTAAAGCCTCTGCATGTAAAGATCCAAATCTTGATCAGATACCTCCAGATTTGAGCTTTGGAGCAGACAAACATTACTGAACTGGTTGTCAACAATGACAACAGCTAAAATTAAAATTTCAATTTTGAGCAAAGAAGCTGGGGTTTTGGGGTTTTGGGGTTTTGGGGTTTTGGGG